AAGTTGGTGTCTCAATTGCAAATTACTGAAGCATTATCCTACAATATTAACTTTAAGAATTCAATAGTTCTTCCACCCAAAATTTTGAAAAGAAGTTGCAAATTATTCATAAGACAGTTGCAAAATCTGGTGTCTGAATTACAAATTACTGGAGCATTGTCCTAGAATAATAACTTTTTTAAAAATTCAATGGTTCTTCCATCCAAAATTTTGACAAGCAGTGGCAAATTTGTCTCGAGCTAGTTGCAAAACTGGGTATCTAAGTTGCTTGACAACTTGATTGATTGGGTATAATGTATAACTTGAACATTATAAATATGTTTCAATATTAAAAGTTGAGAATAAAATTGTGAAAACAAATTACAGAGTTACAAAGTTGCAAACTTGATTAATTGGGTACAATGTATAACTTCGAACTTAAAATCCATTTGAGCATGTCATCACTTGTACAAACTACATAGTCCCCTTCAGCTAAGACACTCAGGGAAAAAAATTGAAGAAGAAGCAATTTCTGCATAATCGAAATGGTAAATGTTGATGAGGATTAGACTCTTCAGCTAGGCAAATGCATCACACCCATCAAAGATTAATGATCAAAACAGATTATAGATTAATGACTTAAGCAACTAATCACTTAGGGCAGAAAAGAGATGTTAAATATGACTAGAATAAAGATGATAGACAGCTTTATTAGACAGCTCAGGGAAGAGATGACAGAGAGCTTTACTCGCTTGTAATGAGACAGGGAAAAGACGATGAACAGAGCAGAGAAAGAAGAGACGAGGAACAGGGCAGGGAAGAGTAGAGAAGGAGAAACCTCATATTTTTATCAGCCAAATAAGGGTATTTCGGTCATTTCTCATTATATTAAAATGCCACTCAAGGACCCAGGGACTTAACTGGCCTTTCAGAATGTTTTGGGACTTATCTTAAATAAAATTGGTCCTTTGAGACCTAATTGTCATTTTCCCTATTTTTAATACGACGGTTTCAAACTTCATCAACTGAAATTTCAAAACTTATAATAGCATTATTTTGTAGTTTCATTATCCGAGCATGCAACTATCTTCATTTACATGAAATTTTTTAAATATAAAAAGTTTCTTATTTTGTACACCTTCCGGTATAAAATATAAGCACTTCTCCTAATTAATCTTAGTTTAAAATATAAATAGCTTAATATATGTAAAAAAAATTCATTTTATCCGTTATATTTATTAACCAAAATTTTATGTGACTTTATCTCTCATTTATCATAAAAATACATTTATATATCTAATAAATCAAAATGACAAGGAGCTGTTCAAAAAACGGCTCAAGATCGGCTCCTCTCTTAAATTACAGTTCAATTGAACTGTGCCAGCTTCTTCCGTTTTAATGGCTTGCATTTTCAAATTTGGATCCTATGCAGTGGAATTTGTGCAGTGTCCGAGAAAAGTTTTAATCTTGACCGTACTTTTTTGTCTAATGGTTGGACAGGGATATGTGCATAATTTATTTATCAACTGCAAAGCACGCAGACATTAAGATTTTGAAATCTATTTTTTCTTGCCTCTTGGTCTTCTTTTTCTATATTCTTATCCGCAACTTGACAGGGCATCAAAACTAGGATTGTGACGAGACAACCAATTTCAGTAAAAAATCTGGACTTCGCAACGATGAATCAAGCTTATGTGGGAAATAAACTTATGTGAAGAAGAAGAACTGCAAGTTACTGTGCATGGCGAATGGGAATCCTGTGCCGAAAAAAATCTCAAGGATGGTGAAGCCAGACGCGTTGAGAGGAGATAAAAGACGGGACGGCAGGGCTATAAATACCGATATTTAAAATTGTATCTCAAGTATCTCTATTAGTATTTTATGCTCACCAATACTTCTTTAATATATATTCTAAGGCTGCACAAAAAACTGAATGATATTGAATTTTGGCCTAACCTAAAATTCGATCTCTTTTATAAAAAGAATTGGATTATGCAACCCATAATTTGAAGTTTAATAGGACTAAACTTGGCCCATAAAATTGAGAGATTGTTCTTGTTAGTCCAGCATTTACTTAACTTTTTTTTCCCTCTTTTTTCCTCTATAAGAAGCAATAATATATTTTAACCTAATAAACTCAATTAAAATAATAAAAACATTTATAATGATAATAAATCAATAATAATTCCTAACAAGAAGATAAAAATATTTCAATTATAGTCCAAATAATTTAAATTTATAACTTCAACAAAAACAACGCTCAATAAACTTCAACAACACTACATTACAATAACAATTTAAAAACAAACTCAATAAATCTTCATGCAATCATCTCTTCAGCATCAACTTGAAGTATTTGTCAAAAATAAATTAATTATAATTATATTAAATAAATTAATAGGAACACACTGGACCACGTGGTCTAGATGTCCAGTCTCCTGTTTAATTCAAATCGAAAAAATAGTCTAATCTTTATAGTTTTTTTGATCTTGGATGACTATTGTTTATACAGACCGAATAGGACTGGACCACCTCAGGTCAAACTGGAGTAGGTAGGACCAGAGGACTTTTATACAGCGCTAATATATTCAGAGAGTATTGGAATATTATTTCTTTAATTTAATAAAAACTTGTTTTTAATATGTATCTTATATTTATAGATCATGGGTTGTTAGCCAATACTTTGGTATTACTTTTAAGAAATTAATTTTTTTAAATATTATAATATTAATCTTTTTTATTCTTAATATATTTTTGTGATTTACTTTTAAAATAAAAATTACATTTTTCTTACAAAATAAGTTTTAGATATAATAAAAAAATTACTCCATTTATTCAAAAATATAATGAATTTTTTAAGAAGTTGCATATTAAAAAAATATAAAATATTTTTGAGCACCATTTGAGTATTGCATTTTTTACATCCCAAAAGTATTTTCCTACTTTTGAAATGTGAAAAGTTATTTGGGTGTAATTTATGAGATCAAACAAGCTTTTTGAAAGTTCTTTTAGGATGAGCCGAATGTGAAAATTTAAAAGCTTCATTTTGTTACTTTCTAAAATTTTTTTAGAATGATATAATATTAAACTATATATTTGTTATTCTTATTATTTAATATCTTAAATTTTATGTTATTTTAAATATTTTCACATTTTTTAAAACACTTCTAATATAATATATTTGTGTAATAAAAGTTATAAATTATCATAAATCAATAATTTTTTTTGTCATTGTATATTTAAAAATACATTTTAAAAGAACAAATTATCCTTAATTCAAATAACTTTTAATTTGTCAAATTAAATTTTAAAAAAATATATACAAATATAAATTTCATTACAATAACTGACTTGCAAAATAAACTTTCAGCAAATTGACTTTTAGTAAATTGAAAACCAAACACACACTTAATTTTTTAAGGTATAATTATTATTTTTTTTAAAAGTGCCCCTAGTAAATAAATCAATTTATATTTATTTTAGATTAAAATACCCTATTAAATAGGGATAAATATGAAAAGATATGATTAGTTTAAAAATAAATAACTATTTTATTAGAGATAAAATTTAGTTAAAAATGTTTTTTATTTTTAAATGAAAAGAGTAAAAATTATTTTATTTAATTATAAAAATATAGGCTTTTGGCATTTAAACCCTAGGTTGGAAAACTATTAGCAAAGATAAAATAAAAGTACAAGTAATGGTTATAGAGCTGTTTAAAGTTATTTTTATTTTATTATTTTAAAAATTAATGTTTTATAAAACATGTTATGAAAACAAAATAAAAAATAAAAATAAGTATTTTTTTTATTCTCTAGAACAATAATTCTAAAACACTTAAAAGTTATTTTCATTTTTTTATTTTTTAAAATAATATTTTATTTTTTTATTCTTTAAAATACTTTTTAAAAATATGTTATCAAACAAATTTTTTTATTCTTTTATTCTGAAAAATAAAAAACTGTTTCCAAAACATATTGCCAAACAGGCCCTATATTTTGCTTGGTATTATTCTACATGATTATACTCTCTCTATTTAAAAATATTAAGTATTTTTAATCGAATCTCACCCTCAATAAAATAGTTATATACTTTCAAATTAACTTTATTTTTTTTATATTTATCCCTATTTACAATAAATATAAAATTATTATTAATACGGATACTTTTAAAAAAAATAATGATTATACCTCAAAAGATTAAAAATACATTATATTTTTGAATATCCAACTCTTTAAAAAAATACTTTATATTTTTTAAGGGAGGGAGTATATGCATGCTATTTTAGATATTTTTTAAATTAAAATTATAACTTTAATATTTTTTTTATTTTTTATAAAGATATACGCACATGTGAAAAGCGTATTCGGAGAAGGCTGCTGTAGCGGAGAGGCATTCATGATGGCGGGAGATCCAGAAGTTGCAGACGCAAAGGAAAGACGATAGGTAGGTGCCGACGTCCATGCACGATGAGATAAGGGAGAGTCGAAGTTGTTGGTGATGGATGCGAAGTCGCTGGAGCTTGATGTGGCGGCAGCGGCGAGTTCCTCCCAAATTTCATGGGCTTTTTGTGAGGTGAAGTGATATGAGGAATATTTGGTGTTGAACTGATGGTGTGATCATTCATGTTCATGGACTGCAAAACATACATTTTAAAATATAAATGTTTGTGTCCTTTGCAACTGAGAATAAATTATGCAAATCTACCTCTTTTTAACCTTCAGATAAAAAGCACGGTCAAAAATTAAAACACTTCTCAGGCACTGCATAAATTCCACTGCATAGGATCCAAATCCATCTCGTCTATTCTTTTTTTCTCTCCTTCAATTCTGCCGTCTGCATCCCATCTCCATTCATCGGAGCCAATCCCCTCCCCGTCCTTCCCTCACAAAACCTCCTCTCCTTTGGCACAACCAAGAACTTACTAAACTCCAACGACTTCTACTTATTTTTTTCTTAGCATCAAACAAAACGAATGAAAATTAGAAAAATACCTGAGGAGCAACCCCGATATCAGCATCGACGACGGCGTATAGTCAAGCAAAGGCATCGTCGCCAGAAATATTGGAATCCTTGTGCTTGCCAATGTCGTATTTGTCGTACTTCTAACAGATCGAATCAACTCTGGTCAGAATGTCGACGATGCTCATGATTTTACCAGGTAGGGAAATCCAGTCCTGATCTTCGTATTATTATTGACAAAACACGAAGATAATAAGATTATTGGGCAAAGCAGAGTTCGATCTGTCATTGTGCCCTGATCTGTTCCGGAATAACTTAGGAATTACTTTAAAAGGGAAAGGCATGGCCTCGCGCTACAGTAAAGGATCTCGCTTTCTACAAGAGTTGTTGTACAGTTGCCTTCAGATTTACTCTCTGTTTACTCCCTTCCCTTCAACTCCACACCACAACACACACCCCCCCCCCCAAAAAAAAAAAGAAAAGAAATCGCCAATCAGTCTCGAGACTGATATGTTGACTATCAAGGTTGAATTTGTAGTGGGAAAAGACGGAATAATTTATATTCATATTATTGAATTCCGTCCGCTACTGGTGAGGTACGTGACCCCATTTCAGTCCACTCCATTTTCTATTCATCGAGGTATTCTTGCATGCTTTCTTTTTTTTTTTTCCTCTTGCCATTTTTCTTTCCGTCGTCCTTTTCTATTGCATCTTCTCCCTCCTGTTTTCATTCCTCTTCTTCTAATTATTTGCCCGCACGATATATTTCATTTGCTGCATCTTATGCGACGGTGGTCACCAGGTACTGGCATAAATCAACGGCGTTAATTAATAATCGGTAATGTACATCCGCAAAGAAAATAGCCGAGATGACGCTTGATGGAAAACAAAGGTTCAGGCGTCCAGGATCTGCGATGACGACGACAAGATGAGAGGGTAGGACAATCAACTGCTTTAGCTACTGCTACGGGTACTAGCTTACAAGTTTGCTTATTGCTTTCACTTAAAAGTTAGGAGTTCTATTTAATCACAATCTCCTATTTTTTCAATTTTTTTGAATACTGATTTCTGCTATCAAATTATTTCAGAGATCAGCATATCCATAAAAATTTCAATCTGGTTTCTGCTTACTAATCCTTGAAAAAATGATTTGCTATAAATATTTGATTTAGTTTCTATTTTTCATTTGTACTTGCATGTTGCGTCCCCATTTAGCTGATTCATCAGATAACATATCTATTGTCTTTATTGTTGAAAAGATTATTTCACTAATTAACTGGCGTTTATACCGTTTATAAATTATAAATGAAAGTTAGTCACCTCAATGTGGTCCATTTGACTTTTGTTGGAATTATATGAATGGAATGCTTGCTATAGACAAAGTTTTGGGTTTATATTTGTCATTTGTGCATCTTGGAGAAGCACTGATAAAATTCTTGCTGAATTGAAGGTAAACTGGAATTCATGATTTAAGTTGATTAAAATTGGTTGATTCTCATCTCATGTTTATCCTACATTGTATGTGAAAGGATGAAAGTGTGAATCTCTTACTAGACCAAAATTATTGATAGGTTAAAATAAAGTGCATACTTTTCTTGCCTTATTGGGCCATATTTATATGGAAACTTAGTCTATTTTGTCAACAACTGGTGATCAAAGGAATTTATGTTATGACTGATTGGGTGTATCAGCTTGTGTCACATTTTGATATCTCCCCAAAATTTTTTATTATTTGATTCGTTTTTTAATTTCTAAACCTACTTCCCTAGGTTGATTATGCCTGTAATCTGCACATTCTTTTCGAAAGATTGGTCATGTGTGCTTTGAGAATAATACATTTCAAGTTGTTATAGACTGCCTTATCGTAAATTTGTCATTGTTATGTAATTAAAATATGTAGCAGAGATAAATACTGTGGGAAGGCTTGTGATGGGGTGATGTTGTAGAAACATGCAGTAGAAAGAAATATTGTGGCTACTCTAATGTAGTTAAAAATAAAAATAAAAATAAAAACTTCTGTACATAATTTTAAGTTTACAACTCTATTGGCTATAAGATATGGCACTTCAGATTTTATTATGTGCAAGTTCTAATTTTAGTTTCAATTTTTGTTACAAGAAACCCTCAAGTACCAATGACGTGCTAGCAGTGTCTTCTGAAGCACGTGTCTGATCCAATGCAGATTCAACGGTGATATCCCAACCCACTTCAGGAGCTAAATTGATAAAGCTGGAATATAATTATAAATAAAATAATTAGTCATATATAATTATAAATTTTAACACTTCCATAATTTTTTCACTTTTATTTTCTTTATAATATAAACATAAAATAAGTTCAGTTGTATTGGCTTCAGTCATTTGATGAACTCAAAAACTGAGGAATTGTTGACTTTTTCTGTCACTTTCTAGCGATATAATCTATTTTACCCTGCAATTTAAATTTTAAGCTCATCTTACATCCTAGATGTTTCCGCTTGCCTTCTGTTTTTTTATTTCTATTTTTTTTTTCATGTGAGATGGTGGGGCTGCAGGGCTGTTCCTTGCTTGCAAGAAAACAAAATGAAACTTTTTAGTTAGCTTTGTCCAGGGGGTATTGTTGTTATTCCCTTTTCCACGGACTGATATTATGTTACTCTTATAACACGCAATGCCCATCCCAACTCCACCACGCCAACTCTGTCCTTTTTTTTTTTTCCAGGGCAAGTCAAGTCACAGAGTCTAGGTATCTAGATCTACAATGTTACCCAATTTTCTTTAATGTTACCAAGTTACTGGTATATCAGAGATTCATCTTACAACAATTATAGTGTAAATTGACAGCCAGGTTGGGGTTGTGACTATGTACCATATTTTTTTACCATAAATAAGAGTTGATAAATGTTATAAGTTTGAGTTAGCTATTTGGTGTGTCCCTTATTTTTATTCTGAGGCTATAAGAAAATATGCATTACGAATCAAGTGTAGATATGTTGAAAAAAGATATAACAACAAAAGTCCTGTAATATGTTAAGGCTTTCCTTGTCCTATATAATTCACTGCTGATACGCTCTGTTGATATGTGATGCTTAAAGTCCCGGAACATTTTCCCGTTGGCTTATGCCAATAATCGCTTAAAATCTTAAAGGCTTAAATGAACACAATCTCAGACTTAATTTATTTCGCCAATAATTTTTGAGTACACAATTTTCTGTGATATCTAGACTGGAAAATATTTATTTTTTTCAAACACAGGGCATTGAGAATTAGAAGTGCAGAGTTACCCAACTTGGGACAGAAAACTTTGTAACCTTATTTAATAAATGGAGAAAGTTTATCATATTTTGAGATATGCCTTAAAGGTACCCCTGGAAAAGGTTCGATTGAAAAGCATAAGCTTCGATTGAAAAGCATAAGCTTTGAAATTTAAAAATATATGCTAATATTGACTGGTCTGTTCAATTAAATATAGAAATGGAATATATAGCTTACCTTCAGGATATCTTGAATTTCTTAGGGTCAATTTAGTAAAATAGAAGAAAAGAAAACAAAATGTGATTTTGACTATTGCGTTTTTATTAGGCTGCTTCATAGAGACTGAATGATCAAATGTAATCCTTTCTCTATTTTGGAAGGTAACTGCGGCTAGGCCTCATGCTAGGCCAATGTTGAACTTAATTCAATATTTAATATGGATGTGCGGGTAAAAAAAAAAAAAGTAGCCATTATCAAAATAAAATCAGTTGTATGAGCATAACAAGGATACAACAACAACAACAACAAGCCTTTATCCCACTAGGTGGGGTCGGCTACATGGATTGCAAGACGCCATTGTGCTCTATCATGAGCATAACAAGGATGTGCATAAATTATATTGAGTGAGGGATTATGAGTACATTTTGGACCTAAAATCAAGCAGAATCAGTTTTGACTCTGGCATCTCTCTGAAAGAATGTATAATAATATATTATATTGTGAGTACGGGATAGTAGAGGTGTTACTTGAAGGAGGAAAAAGCATAAGAGAAATGGTTTCACTTTTTCTCTGCCTAGAAGCTGATCATCAGTTATCTTTCATGAGGTGTTGGACGGGCATGGGGTGGGTCTGTTGATGTTGAAAGATGAAGAGTGGACATTTGATACTTGTGAGGAGTGAGTGAGAGGACTAAAGGGGGCATTGAGCTTGACATAAAATAAGAAAAATGATGTTTTTTTGCTGGTAGTGTCTGCTGTCCATTAAATTTTCTATGCTATCTAACTTTTTGGATGTGTGTTTATTTATTTTAACAATGACAGTTTCATCTTTTATCAGTGCATGTTTTTTTGTGTTGTGTATTGACCAACATTTTCATCTTTTGTCCTCAACATTATTCTTTTCGTAATTTCATAAAGCCTCTATAGTGAATCTTATCCTACCTTCCTTCTACAGTTGCGTTGTCATGCCTTTCCTTTTTGATGGAGTGAGAGTGACCATGCCTTGACAATAAAAGTTTTACCTGGAAGTAGGGAAATCTTTTTTCCTGTCACTTCTTTTCTGCAGTATATTTTCTTCAGTTATGAAGCTACCTTTAACTAAATGTTGGTCTTCATTTCGTTAGGGCCTCATATAGCTGTTTTCAATAATAAAATTATTTGGAATTAAAAAGGATAGTAACAGTTATTTGTAGAAGTTATTGGCTACCTTGGGCTGAAGCTTAATGCAATAGTATTTGAGAATATGGTTATTTTATTTTATTTTATTTTTTGCTTTCCATATGATGCATGGGTTGCAGTTTACTCAAGGTGCAGCCCTTTGAGATGTGGAGGGGTGATTTGATGGTATTCTTTGTAATTAAAAGGTGTTTAGATTTAGATTATGACTCAAGTCATAACTACAATGAAAGGAAAATTGTCAAACTTTTTCTTACCTTTTCTTAGATCATTTTAGAAGCACACGTTACCTTGGTCCTTTAGAAAGAAAATATGGCCATCTTTAATGTTCCTGATGGGAAGTTTCATTTGCTACTTCAAATTACCAAATAGGAAGTTTGAAAAAACTACTGTGCCACTACGTTCACCTTGAACTTACATTGAGCTCCCAACTTCTTTTTAGGTTATGTAACACTTCAAATGCTTATGTATAAAATCTTGACTGAATCTGTAATTCAGTTTAGTAGATATGTCTCTTGGTTCTTATCCATTTTAATGTTATAAACATTTTGTAAACCCTTTATTTCCTTACAATAGGGATTGCAAACAATAAAAATTGCTTAAAGACCTTATTATTTCTTGAGTCAGTGATTGAAACATCATTATTAAGCAATTGTGCATACAAGAAGATGTTTTAAGTCAAGTGTACATATGCGTGCATTTTTTGCTAATGGGGATTGAGAACTAAGCTAACTGTGTCTTATAATCACAAGTTGTTATATCATGTTACCTTGTTTCTTTCCTGTTTAGTATTCGTCTATTTGCTGAGTTTACATGCCAGAATGCTGTTATGGCTGAGTGGTTTATTGAAGCAGGTAGCCCCTATGTATCCAAGGGTGTATTTGACTGTTTGATAGTAATTCTTTAAATTGAAGATGCAGCCCATGATATATTCTACCTCAAATAAGCACGACATTTTCACTAGAGTAAAGTTCCTATATAGCTTTGTAAATTGACTGAAACTAACCGTATAGTTCTATGGGAAGCATGAAGTCATAAATTTAGCATTTCTTTAAAGATCTTGCCGCATAAATACATTACCCCTGTATGGTAAATCGGGCTGAGCTAATACTAGGCGTTTGCATTATGCTTTGTAAAAGGCTAGACTTATTAAGCTAAATCATCTTTATCCTTGAAAAGCAAATGATTGGGGATACGTTATGAGGATTGAGGATAATAATTCAAGACTGATGGCTAATTCCTAAACTAGATAAGTAAATTAAATGGAAATATATTAGATGTGATTATTTCAGATTCTCAAAAATCAGTAGTTCAATCATGATCATATAATGTAATGAACGTGAGCACCTTTTGATATTCAAGTTGTGGTTTCAGCTCTGCTTGAGTAATTAGACAGAAATACTAATTTCAAAAGTAGCTTCAGTGAGATAGCAGCAGGGTTTGCAGCAGAAAGTATGTTTTTCATCTACATCTTTTCATTTTATTAGACATGATGAATTTGAGCCTATAAAAACTGAGAGAATGCGGTGTGTGATTTCTTATCATTCTTCCACAGAACTGTCCGGTACACATGTAGAGAGAGAGAGAGAGATTGATACAATAGCATAAAATCCTCTCTCAATAAAATAAAATAAATAGGAGATACTAATCTGAATCCTAAAAGATAAAGCTGACCAAGATAATAATAATAAACTAAAAAATCCTAGAGATAATGGGCTCAAAGAATAAAAGCCCAATTCCAACACTCCCTCAAGCTGGCAAATAGATGTTGATCATTCCCAGCTTGCTTACAAAATCTTCAAACTTAGTTTTGACAAGAGACTTAGTCATCACATCAGTTACTTGTCTTCCGGATGAGATGTAAGATAAGTCTGTGACTTTATTTTCTACCTTCTCTTTGATGAAGTGCTAGTTTATTTCAACATGCTTTGTGCGATTATGTTGGATAGGATAATTAGCAATCTTGGGTGTAGCCATGCTATCACACCACATCTTAATTGGGGTATTCATTGATATCCCAAGTTCTTCCAATAACCATGCAATCCACATAGCCTTATAGATTCCGTGAGACAAGGCCATATGTTCTGATTCCATAGAACTTTTTGATACTATTGCTTGTTTCTTACTCCTCCAAGTTACTAGGTTATCCCAGACAAAAGTGCAATACCTAGTTGTGGACCGTCTATCATTAATCGCACCTGCCCAATTTGTGTCTCTATATATTTCCACATTGTTTTGTTCTTCCATGCTGGTTGTCATCTTGGTTGCATGTGTATAAATTTCTATACCCTTCTGATTATTCTTAGAAAAGAGTAAACTTTTTCTGGGTGTCATCTTGAGATATCTTAGAATCCAATACACTGCTTCTATGTGTTCTTTTTGAGGATTACTCACAAATTGACTAACAACTCCCATTGCAAAAGAGATATCTGGCCTCATGTGAGACAAGTAAATCAACTTTCCTACCAACTTTTGATACCTTTTCTGTTTCTACTTCCAATTTGCAATTAAGCTCCATTGGAATATCTGCAGGCCTCGCCCTTAGCATTCCAGTCTCCTTGAGTAAGTCAAGTGTATACTTTCCTTGAGATACACTAATAACCTTAGAAGATCGAGCTATCTCCATCCCAAGGAAATATTTCACGCTTCCAAGGTCTTTCACCTCAAATTCTGTAGCCAATTTCCCTTTCAATTGTGCAATTTCTTCAGGATCATTGCTTGTTGAGACGTTATCATCCACATAAACAACCAATATAGTTTTTTTTGAGCCACAATGTTTAGCAAACAAAGTGTGATTAGCCTGACAATGTTTATAACCAAATCCCTTAATAGGACGTGTAAACCTCTCAAACCATGCCTTTGGGGATTGCTTTAGCCCATATAAGGATTTTCGGAGCTTATAGACTTTATTCACATTTTCAAGATCCTGCAACCCTTGAGGGATTTCCATGTATACTTCCTCTTTCAAGTCACCATTTAAGAAGGCATTTTTGACATCTAATTGATGCAAAGGCCAATCTAAGTTCACTGCAAGAGAAAACAGCACATTTATACTATTAAATTTAGCAATAGGTGCAAATGTTTCTTGGTAATCAATACCATATGTTTGAGTGAATCCTCTGGCAACCAATCTCCCCTTATATCTATTAACACTCGCATCCGGATTATATTTTTTGGTAAAGACCCATTTGCTCCCCACAGCAGACTTTCCGGGAGGTAAGTCAACAATCTCCCATGTTTGCTTTTTACTCAAGGCCTTCA